TAAAATCAGAAAGTCTCTATTGCTGACAAATCGACTATGTTGCGATTCTAAACACTCATCCATGCGCCCATATATACATACATACATACACACACACACACACATATATATATATATATATATATATATATATATATATATCTGTGTGTGTGTGTGTGTTAGATGTGTGTGTATGTATGTATGTATATGAAGAAATATAGTCTTAAGGCGTGCTATATTTATGGGATAAAGTGCTAAATATCAGAGATGAGCGTGTAAAATATGAAAGTGAACATAAAAGTGAACACTTAGAGGCGACAGTCTGTTTCTTGTTAGACGCAATTGTGGCCTGACGATTGCGTCTATCATGAAACAGACTGTCGCTTCTAAGTGCTAGCTTTAATGTTCACTTTTACATAATATATATATATATATATATATATATATATATATATATATATATATATATAATCATACACATATATAATTTATATTATAATATATATATATATAAAAACATATATATAATCATGCCCATATATGATTTATATTATAATATATATATATATATATATATATATATATATATAATCATACACATATATAATTTATATTATAATATACATACACACACACACACACACATATATATATATATATATATATATATATATATATATATATATATATTCATCTATGCTTAGTGATTTGGCGGTATTTGGCACTGTAATTAACTTTTACTTTTTTTTGTTTTTCATTTATTCTTATGTGTTTGCCTTAATTGTAATAAGTACTTTGCCTGTTGTTAATGCTGAGACAAGGGAGAATTCTGTGATTTCTTTAACAGTATTTTGTTGCAAAATAAATGGATGGTCATAGAAAGTACGACTTGTATCCCAGCACGCTCGCTTATGACACAGAAAAATAGACACACGCCCAGACACACTCGTTTAGATATATAGAAAGATAGAAAGACTAAAGAGAGATAAGCGTCGAGAATTTACACTTAAATTATTATAACTGTCTACACTTTTTTAAACAGGCTGTGGCAAACATACCTTCCACATATACCTGTCAGAAATAGCTGAGTGCTAATGGTGTCTTCATCAAGCTAATGTCTTACCTTTATGTGGGAATTATTTCTGCCACACCCTATATTTTAAAAATGTTTCTTCGTCTAATACAAATATGAAAAAGAAATAGGAAGACTGTGTTGCGTCAATCAATGGGGAAAGTATGTGTGCCTTGAAAATCGTTGTGGTAGATTTTTATTTGATCTCGAACACCGGCATCTAGCATCTGTGGAAAAGACACTAAAATCTCGAGCTCAAAACGGAATCCTGATTATTATTTTGATATAAGCTTAACTTAAAATGACCCAAGTCTAAACGTGGCGTCAGTACTGGTAAGAATATTTCGTTGTGCAGATCCTTCAAATCGGAAAAGGCTACATGCCAACCTTGAAAATCCGCATTCGAAAACCTGCCTTTACTCGATCTTTGACTCTTAGAGAGGATCGATTGCTGAATATGTATAACTTATATAAGAACAATAATTATCGGCTTTTCATATTTTTAAAACCTATTTTTACAAAGCCAGATAAAGACGATACGGAATACATAATCCCAAAGAAAAGATTTCAAGCGGCGTTAAGGCTAACAGTTCTTTGAATAAATGCCGAATGTTTCCTGTATGGAAACGGATATTCTCATCTTGACCATTAACCACTAGCACAAGGTGAAGGAAGCAGAATTGATTAAAATTTGAACTTGGCTCACCAATTCCGTTTTATCATTTCTATCCAGTCTTCTACACTCTTGTTCAAATTAATTGAAACAACCTTCCTTGCACCATACGGTCAGTTTTAGTCCCACTAGACTAACAGGGTGTAATTGATTTCTATTTTTTTTATCAGATTAGGTCATTTGCAGTGTTGTGCGGTAATATTTTCGGTGTTTATAATGAAATTTGTTTGGCCTTGAAAAATATTGCGTCATCCGTGATTGCATCAGATTTTTATCAGGTCCAGATACTATTGTCTCAACTGTTGATTAGGTGTCCTACGGTCATTGTCTGCAATGGACGTTACTTCAACGAAACATACGAAAATTTTAACGCTGCACGAACATACTGGCAAGCCTTACCAGTGAACAAATCAAAATACTATACACTGTCTCGAAAGCTCTCCTGATTTATATCCAATCGACAATCTGTGGTCAAATTGCAAGGAACGACTTTATGGAATGGGCATACAAAGTACTAATATGTGCATTGGGTCACGTTTCATTGGAAAAAATACGAAAAAAAAGAGTAAATATAACGGAATTATTCGTTTTGTTTTAATTAATTTGCAAAACGGTGTAAGTAGTTTCTTTTCTGTCATTGCATGCTTTAAGAAGTCATATTAAAAATCCGGATTTTCCTGCTCGGATAGCGACTATTCTCATCAATGAGAAATATACCATCAGCTCATACAATATTGCTTTCATAATAAATTGCTACAATCAGTCAAAATTCCCCAATAGTGTATTCAGGTAAGCGTGAGATGAAAACTGCATTGTGAATAGCAGAAACATTATTCATAGCATATCTGAAATCATCGACGGGAATACAGCTGTGTCGTAATCTCATTAAGCAAAAGCCACGGACCATATCATCCGAATTTACACCGGCAATCTATTTGATGACTAACAGGCAAACAAGACTTGAATACGAAGACATTTCTCGCGCCCTGCGGCCTTGACTTTACCCGTTTCTATCCATACACATTATGCATAAATCACTCACTAGATGATTGCATTATACATAAGCTGATATTCATTATTATCACTTTCCTAGTGATAGCTTAGTGGTTTGAAAATTCATCTGAATCGGGGATTCTATGGTTCAACTGGGAAATTTTATTTTTGGTATTATTTTTTTTTCACCAAATATATTTCTAATAAAGAAATTACTTTTTCACACTATCACTTTTCACAAATATCTCCGGTTCTCTAAAATAGGCATAAATAATTTTATAATAATTTTCTTTAATCCTTTCTTTTTAATCGTTGCATAAACAACCATCTTCGGTATCTTATACGCAGACCGCATCACAAATGACACATTGCGACACACGATGAAACAAGAAACGGTTCCGTTGGAATGACATAGCCACCAACAACATTTTTTTTATTGATTTGATTGTTTAACGGCATATCAACTCCTTATGGGTCATTTAATGTCGAAATTTAATTTTATTGTGTGCTTTGAAATAATAAAAATATGATATATGTTATTCTACTTTCACAATTGAATAAATGGTAGATAATATTCAGCTTTTGTGTGGACATAATTACTAAAGACGGTGATATGTGTGTCTTATGCTATAGTTTTCTTGGAATTATATTTTGGAATAGTTTTATATAAAATTGTATTGCTGGTATTTTTACTATAAAATGCGTTCTTATACTTTCATAGTGTTTTGTTTGCGACACTAACAGGTGTTACCACCCCGCCTCAGAGTGGATCTGGGAAGAACAGCAATTAAAAGGTTGAGGTTCCACGCTCCTCAAAATTTCCAATCGCCCGATCAGAGGCCTTGCTGCCGGTTGTAGTTTCTCGTCATTCCCAGAACAACCAACGACAAGAAGAGAAAATTGAAATGGACACGTCATCGGAGACAATAACCTTTCCACTGCTATTCTGCAAGGTCCCACTTTAAGAAAAAGAATAGGAGGCAGACAGAAGAAAAAATGGTCTGAGACTGTTATTGAATGGACAGGAAGATCGTCCACAGAGACTAAGGCATTGACACGCAAACGAGATATAAGGAGGGAATTGGTCATGTTCTCAAATATGCAGTGACCCAACGACCATAACACATCTACGGATTGATGATGATGAAAAATTCTGACGAAAAAATATTTTATTAACTATTATACAAGTTTGTTATTCCTTGGTTATTTATTTATTTATTTTATTTTAGTTATTATATTTAGTTATTTTATTTTAATTTTGTTTTTATTTATTTTATCTATTTTATTATATTTTTATTTTAGTTATTTTATTTCAGTTATTTTATTTTATTTTACTTATGTTACTTATTTATTTGCTATTCCTTAGTTATTTTTGGTATCAATTTCCCGCCGATATTCTTTTATTGTATCTCGGGTTAAAAATCTATTTACGTAGCATTTCCATTGTATTAGCCATTATAAGTAATCTATTGTATTAGCCATTATAAGTAATCTATTGTATTAGCCATTATAAGTAACCTATTGTATTAGCCATTATAAGTAATCCATTGTATTAGCCATTATAAGTAATCCATTGTATTAGCCATTATAAGTAATCTATTGTATTAGCCATTATAAGTAATCTATTGTATTAGCCATTATAAGTAATCCATTGCATTAGCCATTATAAGTAATCTATTGTATTAGCCATTATAAGTAATCCATTGTATTAGCCATTATAAGTAATCTATTGTATTAGCCATTATAAGTAATCCATTGTATTAGCCATTATAAGTAATCTATTGTATTAGCCATTATAAGTAATCCATTGTATTAGCCATTATAAGTAATCTATTGTATTAGCCATTATAAGTAATCCATTGTATTAGCCATTATAAGTAATCTATTGTATTAGCCATTATAAGTAATCCATTGTATTAGCCATTATAAGTAATCCATTGTATTAGCCATTATAAGTAATCTATATCGTCCTATAATGAGAGATTCATTCTTCTTCTACTGCTTATCAACAATTTCCGTGTTATTTAAACCCGGAAAATATTTTTAGATTCTAACAATATTTTGGGGAGATATAATAATGATTTTCCGATACAAGTCCTAATTAACCCATATCTGGGAGCAGGAAAAAGAGGTAAATCCATACTTTTCCTATGGTATTTGTACGTAAATCAATATAACAAACCCGACTGGAATTAGAACACGGCTTTCCGATTTCCAATCAGCTTACAACACCTGGTATTCCCGAGCGGTTACCCATCTAGGTACAGACCAGACTTAACGTTGCTTACAGCACCGGGTATTCCCAAGCGCTCACCTATGTAGGTACTAACCAGACTCGACGTTGCTTAACTTCGTCGATCGTACAATAACCGGTGTTGCAACGTGCTACTGTCTAATATTGCCCTAGAATAATATATATTATAATGAATCTATATTATAAGAAAATAGTAGAGAATATGTGGGTAGGATATACGTAAATAGTACGTTATTTTATATAAGGGATTTGAACATCCATGGATTTTTGTATCCGCGGGAGTGGAGTCTTAGATAGAACAGTCCGCGGATATGGAGAGAGAGTTGTATTAGAAATTTGGTTTGTTTGTAATTTCACTGATGTTGACGAAACCCTGTCTTCTTAACATTACCATCTACATACTCTATATAATCTAAACTATAATTAACTTTCTGATAGTAATTGTTTTATCCCATGACTATTAAAAAAAGTTGAAATCAGATTGACCAAAAGGTACGGTTTTTCTTCTCCTAAATCATAGCTTCCTTTCACACAGACAAAGTATATCTGTTGGGACGAATCTCAAAATTTCTGTGTGCATTAATGAAACTACAAAAATTTACGGTTTTCATCCTTTTATCTAACTCCCGAATGAAATCGTCGAGTCAAAGTGCATTAACAAATTCATTTCTTGTGCTATTAATGACTAAGTGAAGTAATTTGTTTTCTTATAAAGCGAGAAACACACGCTTAAGTAGTTGTCACACTTTTTTAATTTTCCCAATTATTTTTTCTGTTTTACTTTCAAATACACACACACAAGCACACACACACACACACACACACACACACACACACATATATATATATATATATATATATATATATATATATATATGAAGAGACATAGTTTTAAGATGTGCCATATTTGTGGGATAAAGTGCTCAATATCAGGTATAGAGCATATGTAAATATAAATATAAAAGCGAACATTGAAGTCAACACACAGAGGCGACAGGCTGTTTCATGCTGGACGCAATCGTCAGGCGGCCTGACGATTGCATCCAGCATGAAATAGCCTCTCGCCTCTGAGGGCTGACTTCAATGTCCATTTATATATATATATATATATATATAACATCATCACTTCCATGTGTATTTTTTATGCCTTATCATATATATATATATATATATATATATATATATGACAAGGCATATATCAAGACACATTGGAAGTGATGATGTTCAAAGTCAACTTCCACCACCCGTAGATGATTTGACATGGCATATATGTAACTAGAAGTGCAGATCGATGGCTGGCTTTATGAACCACTGTCATTCACACAACAAATGAATACAGTGTTGTAGGGGGGGTGGAGCTTAATTGATGTACTGGACAAACTTATAGCCTAGAACAGACATAAAAGTACCGCCCCTAGTGAACCACCCCTCTCTACCTACGCCATTGGTCTTGATGCCTGGAAAATCAGCATTTGAAATCTTGGCTTTTAGATGCACATGAACTGATTGAGCCCTAGCATCTGTAAGAAATCTATCATAGTTCCAGCCATAAATAAGGTAACACTTCACTGTTATTATTTTCTCTTTATTCTTCTCTCATGTGTCGTGTTCTTCATGATGTTGGTAAGCATGGCTCTCCACAACTTCCTATTTTTTATAGCTCTAAGCAATGTTTTCCCCTTATTATTCCTGTCAAATCTCAGTAGGTAGGTTGCTCAAACTTTCCCTGTTCTTCACTTGTCAAACCCTCTAAGCCTGGTTTCTACATTTCTATGCTTGTAAAAACCCTTAACGATACGACCTCTTTTGTTTTCGGCTGGGACCAAAATAAGATATCTGGTCTCTCTCCTCTACTGTCTTTGTGTCTTCGGACAGTCCACTGAAATGTTTTGACAGATGTTTGGTACCGGGGATTCCAACCTTACTGCAGCACCTCTCTCATTCCACTAAAGATTGAGAATTTGCGAAATGTCGACGTCAGCGTAACAATGGTCCCAGGCAATTTTTTTTTTTTTTTTTTTTTGCCCTGAGCCCAAATGTACCCACATGGGCACGTCGCATTTAAAATATCATGTGTCATATTCCGCCACCGTGGTTGGTGGTCTAGTAAGTACAATTAGCGGTTTCAGGCGGGGTTGTTTTGTTCTACGGAGATAAGGTGGGGACGCACAGACAAAATTTAGCCTAATGCGAATTTATGAAAAATATGTCAAAACTTTCATTCACTACGAAGATCACACACGAAAACAAACACGTCTAAAGTTCACTCACTTTAATGATTACATATATAGGTAAGGTTGATTCAGCAAACAAATCAATATATTCACTGATTCATTACATAATGATTACATATATATATATGAACTTAATAAACAGATCAATACGTTCATTGATTTTAATGATTGCATGAATAAAGAATAGGCAATATATGTGTCAAAATGTTTACCTCCTTTAATTGGCTTTCTGAACTCAATGAAAGATAACGCGTTTTTTCGAAGCTCAAAAATATTAACGGATTTTAAGTTTAATAGTTTAAATGAAAAAACGTAAATTTTGCGTAGCTGTAATAATTTTTGTCAGTTTACCACAAACAAAGCAATAAAGAACAAGAAATAAGAAGACAGAAAATAACAATTGGCATTACATTTAAATTTTTGAAGATCAAATTTCAACGAAAAGCAATAAACCGTGAGAGAGTTCCAAAAGTGCAAGAAAAAAAGCTGTTAGCATAAAATTTACGGTTCCATCTAACCATTTAATCTGTAAAATGATGATAATTACATTGCTGCTAATTTATTAATGCACTTAAATTCATAAAGTAATATAATAATTTAATATAATTTTCAGTTATTATTTATTTAATTTTATTCTTTATATATTATGATTATTACATTTATTAATATTTCTTTAAACTTTTACCACAGTTATCGTTTTCTTCTGTATTAGTAATTATTTGTAATAATGTTAAGAATCAGAAATATAGACAGATACTGAAAGGCTGAAACGTTGTAATAAATATGGCGACAAAGATGAGGACAATAGTTCGAATAATGTAAATAGTGTACATAATACCTCATCACAGAAATATAGATAGATACTGAAAGGCCGAAACTTTGTAATAAATATGGCGACAAAGATGAGGACAATAGTTCGAATAATGTAAATAGTGTACATAATACCTCATCTCAGAAATATAGACAGAAACCAATCATTTATATATATATATATATATATATATATATATATATATATATATATATATATATATGATTATTATATATTTATTTGAAATTATATATACATTGTTTATTATTATTTCTTTCAACTTTTCCCACAGTTATCGTTTTTTTTCTGTATTAGTATTTATTTGTTTTTGTACAACTAACCTGAATATCGTTTGTCTTATTTTTACTTTCTGTTTTTGCTTAGCTAAAGTTATAGTTATCAACTTCGTTTTTATCAACTTTTTCATTTTTTATCCATTGATAATTTAAATGTTAGTACTGTTATAGACAAGCGTATGGTTGCAAGAAAGAAATACGACAACAGCAGAAATAGATTTACGTGGTTTATTTCAACAGGAACGTGTGGGTTTGGGACAGCTACCTTGTGGTATAGTTCATAAGCCGGCTTAGGATCTAGGTCGATCTCTCATAGTAGTTCACACATGTTGACGGTGGTTGATGCTCCCCTGCTGACAGCTGCTGAACGCTCGGCCTGATCGGACACTTCTCCTTTGTGGCCACCCGTTGAACTTCAGTGTGACCCCTTTTATAGCGTTTTTTTTTTATGGCTTAACAGGCTCGAAAAACGAAGCGAGTATAATTAGGAGGGAAGCATTTTTATTGGACGAAAAATAGAGCACTTTGAATATTATTTTATTTTTCGACCAGAACACGTGTGTCGGGAACATTTGTAAATGAAGATAATGGTCATTTTGTGACGGGGTTTTGTCCCGTTCACATCCGGCTCTCGCTCTTGAGTATTTGCCTGTAAATCAGCCGAGATATGTCTTATTTTATTTTTTAATAGTACTGTCAAAAAGGTAGTATAAATTATTTTATTGTATCTTATAAATAATGACTTCATAATCTAATATTTTAGGCTTAATATATATTATATTTTCATTTTTTCTATCTTTATACAATAATGTAAAGGTTATTGTACAATGACGTTAAAATTTCTCTAAAGACGACATATGAATAACTAGTATTTATCAAAGAAATGTATATATATATATATATATATATATATATATATATATAGAGAGAGAGAGAGAGAGGGGGGGGGAGAGAGAGAGAGAGAAAGACAGGCAAACAGAGACAGAGAGATACAGAGAGAGAGAGAGAGACAGAGAGATAGAGAGAGAGATTGCATGAAGACCGCTTTTAATTTTTGGTTCTATCTATCTCTATCTCTCTCTCTATCTATCTCTCACTCTGTATATATTTGCACGTACATATATGTATTTTTTCTCAGGTGTATTAAAAACAGTGCTCAATGTTATATAACAGAACTATTAAGTATATATTAGTGAATATACATAATATCCTACGTAGTATTTTATGTATATTCACGAATATATATATATATATATATATATATATATATATATATAGAGAGAAAGAGAGAGAGAAAAGAGAACGTATGATCTTTAATACATATACGGGATTTGAGCGAATTTTTTTTTTTTTTTTAAGTAATTTAGGTACCGGCGAATAAATTATTGACGCTTCGTATGGAACAAATGAAAAATAATTGGGAGGAATTTATAGATTTTACTGATAAGGAGTAAAAGGATACAATCAATTTAAATTCGTTTTGAAATACAGCAAAATATTAAATTTAACCTATTAGCTTGAAATTAAAACTAAAATAAAAGCTTCAAGTAAGAGTTTTAATTTTAAAAATTCATTTTTAAGCTTAGGTATCGATTTTTCTTTTGTTTTTTCGAAATACCTTAATTCATAATATCTGGTCTAATTTTTACACACCTTGTGTGCGCATATGCGTGTGTACGTGTGTGCGTTTGCGTGTGTGTGTGTGCGTAGGTGGGTCGGTGCGTACGTTTGTGTGTGTGAATATGTGTGGGTGCATATGTGAGTATGTGGGGATGTGTGTGCGTGCGTATA